TGAAGTCCTGCAGTGAGGACAACTGGGACTCTTGATTGCAACTGTAATCAAAACTAAGCTGCATATCATGCAAGGAATCCTTCAGAGAGATGTCACTGTAGGGCCAAAGTTACTGCTACATAAATCAGAGATTATTTGGGGTTGCGGCTTCATGTCTGGCTAAAACAGTAAATCCCAACAAAGACTATTACTAATATGCATGCAGCCAATCTGGAGCTTTTCTGAGCTGTATGGAGCAGAGATTTCTTTATTTTCAGGGACCCAACAGCCGTTTGGCTTGTACACAGGCATCCCACTGGCTTTAAATCATAGCCAAATGAAAGAATCATAGATCTGGAAGGGACCTTGAGAAGTCATCTAGTAGTCCATTCCCAAAAGCAGGACCAAATATAGCTAGACCACCTTGGACAGGTGTTTGTCTAACCTGTTCTTTAAAACTTCAATGATAGGGATTCCACAATCTCTTTAGGTAATCTACCCAGTACTTAACTATCCTTACACTTAGAAAGTTTCTCCTAATATCTAACCTAAATCTCCCTGGCTGCAGATTAAGCCCATTACTTCTTGTCCGACCTTCAGTGAACATGGAGAAAAATTGATCACCCTTCTCTTTATAACAGCCCTTAATGTATTTGAGGACTGTTATCAATTTCCCCTGTCTTCTTTTCTTGAGACTAAACATGCCCAATTTTTTAACCTTTCTGCATAAGTCAGGGTTTTTTTAAATATATTTTACCATTTGTGTTGCTCTCCTCTGGACTCTCTCTAGTTTGTCCACATCTTTTTTTTAAAGCATGACACCCAGAACTGGACACAATACTCCAGCTGTCACCTCACCAGTGCCGAGCTGAGCAGGACAATTACCTCTTATGTCTTACATACCACATTCCTGTGAATACACCACAGAATTATATATGCCCTTTTTTTTTTTTTTTTTAAAAAACTCATCATTTTTTTGTTTTTTTTTCCACTATAAGCTTCAGATTCTTTTCAACAGTACTATCGCCTAGCCAGTTATTCCCCATTCTGTAATTGTGCCTTTGATTTTTTTTTTCCCTAAGCGTAACACTTTGCACTTCTCTTTACTGAATTTTTTATCTTGTTGATCTCAGACCAATTCTCCAATTTATCAAGGTCATTTTGAATTCTAATCCTGTCCTCCAAAATGCTAGCAACTTCTCCCAGTTTGGTGACACCTGCCTATTTTATAAGCACATTCTCCACTCCATTATTCCAGTCTTTATTGTAAATACTGCACTGTACGAGATCCTAGACAGACCCCTGTGGGACCTCATAGATACGTCTTCCCAGTTTGACAGCAAACCACAGATAACTACTCTTTCAGTATGGTTTTTCAATAAGTGCACCTACCTTATAGTAATATCATCTAGCCCACATTTCCCTAGTTTGCTAATGAAAATGTCTTGTGAGACTGTCAAAAGTCTTACTAAAATAAACATATATCATGTCTACTGCTTCCCTCATCCACTAGCCCTGTCAAAGAAGGAAATTTGGTTAGTTTGGCATGATTTGTTCTTGCCAAATCCATGCTGGCTTTTATTTATTACCCTATTATCCTCTAGGTGCTTACAGACTGATTGTTTAATAATTTGCTCCGATATCTTTCCAGGTATCAAAGTTAGGCTGACTGGTCCCTAATTCCCGGGATCCTCTTTGTTCTCCTTTCTAAAAACAGGTATTATATTTGCCCTTTTCCAGTCCTCTAGGACCTGACCCGTCCTTCATGAGTTCTCCACGATAATCGCTAATAATTCCAAAATTGCTTCAGCTAGTTCCTTAAGTACCCTAGTATCCCACTGATTTGAAAACATCTAATTTATCTAAATATTCTTTAACCTGCACTTTCCCTATTCTGCCTTGGGTTACTTCCCCCTTGTTAAACAGCGTTAAGCATCTAGTCACAATTAATCTTTTTAGTGAAGACTGAAGCAAAATAGGCATTAAACACCTCAGCCTGCTTGGTTGTCATCCTTTATTAGCTATCCTTCCCTGCTAAGTAGTGAGCCTACACTGTCCTTCATCTTTCTCTTGTTCCTAATATATTTATAGAACTTCTCCTTATTGCCTTTTACGTCCCTTGCTAGATGTACCTCAGTTTGTGTTCCTGAGCCTTTCTGATTTTGTCCCTACCTGCTTATGCTATTCTTTTGTACTCATCCTTAACTATCTGTCCATGTTTCAACTTTTTGAATGATTCCTTTTTGATTTTCAGGTCATTAAAGACCTCCTGAGGCAGCCATATTGGCCTCTCTGTGCCTCTCACTTCTTCCTTTCCTTAGGATCATGAATACTATCATTTCATGATCCCTTTCACCTAAACTGCCTTTCACCAGCGGATTCGCAACCAATTCCTCCCTGTTAGAATCAAATTTAAAATGGCTGCCCCCTGGTTACTCCCTCTATTTTCTGAAACAAAAAGTTGTGCCCAAAACATTCCAAGAATTTACTGGACATTTTGTGTTTTGCTGTATTACTTTTCCAACAATGCCCATATGCCAAAAAACTGTTAAATGCACAGCAGCTAAATCGCATTCTCTTTGCTTTTCTAAAATTGTGTACAGTTGTATTGAGCAATGCAGAGTATTGATGAAAAATGGGGAATTTGGCTTTTTTACAACATGTTAAGATGATTTTTTCAATTTGCTCACAAAAGTCCCACTTCCTGATAAGCAGGTACATAGCAATCCACAAAAAACTCATAGGTAAATTTCTTCACCACCTGTGACTGACTCCAAATTTCTAGGTGTTATGTATATTGTACACACAGCAACTTTTGAAGGTCTTGTTGGTTTTATGCTTGAGTGAATGCTTTTACTTACTTGCTGCCAGGTTAGTCTCAGCCGTTCAAACTGCTCCTTCCCATCTTCTGAACAATCAGAGCAAGTAAACCTGAAAAAGTTATCTCCCTTGAGGTAGCTGAGTTGTTCTCTCAGCTGACCTAAAACAAACAAGCAAAAGGGATACGCCTCAAGTCCTTTTATAGGAAAAATGGAGCAAAGTAAATTTGGATTCAGAACAGTGTTTATCCGCTGAGCAAGAGATCAGCAACCCTGATAATTCCATAACAGAAGTATAGAAACTCGGTGTGATGCTTAATTTACAGTTACAGAAGTCAACAAGGGATCAATAGAAAAAAACCACACATTAAAGATGGGCTTTCCTATCTAATACTTGAATACATGTAAAAAGGCAAAGATTTTAATACATGCAGTGTTATTGGAGCCAAGTCAGTCCCAGGATATTAGAGAGACAAAGTGTGTGAGATATCTTTTATTGGACCAACTTTTGTTGATGAGAAAGACAAGCTTTCGAGCTACACAGAGCTCTTCTTCAGGTCTGGGAAAGGTACTGACACACTCAGTACCTTTCTCAGACTGTAATTGAAACACTAACTGAAAGAGATTAGAAAAAACATATTTCCATTTTTTTCAGTTTGTTTACATTGTGCATTTGACAGCACTTTGTGTCGAGTCACTTTCACTGATCACTCTGGTGATCGATTTCCCTTGTATGGGTCTTTCAAACAGCAACAGAAGACAGAAAAAAAAAATTAAACATAAAAAACTGATTGTAAACACTGGCAAAAGGACACAGGATCAGGTGTTGTACCTAAATAGACTAGATTTCAAGTTGACTGTGTCCCTTTAACTTCTTCCTACTGAACACCACATGTGAAATCCTCGCTCCAGTAAAGTCAATGGCAAAACTCCCAATGACTTCACTGGAGAAAGGATTTCACACTACAGCTTTTGGCAAACCGGGCAGTTGAACTAACTGACAGGTGTGGAGCAAGCCAGAAGAATTCAGTATTTCCTGCCACAAAATGAATAGTGTTCAGGTAGATCTTGATTTTGGAAAGGAAAAACTGCTGTACTAGAATATGAAGAAAGCTAAAAGAGTTTATATAATGTTAAATGGAGATATTGGAAAGATCATTTTAGCTATTTAGCACAAAATACCTTCTTCCCAGGGCTACTGCTACTGGTTTTATATTGTTCTGTGAATGCTAATCTAAGTTCAGGATACCACAGAACCATTCTTATATACAGAAGGCTGAAATTTATTCATACATCCCACTGAAATGACAAAGCAATCAGGAAAATAATAATAGTTAGCTCTTATGTAGCACTTTTCATTGGTAGATCTTTACAAAGGAATTGTCATTGTCCCTGTTTTACAGATGGGGAAACTGAGGCACAGAGAGGGGAACTGACTTGCCCAAGGTCACACAGCAGGCCAGTGGCAGAGCTGGGAATATAACCCAGATCTCCTGAGTCCCAGACCAGTGCTCTATCCACCAGGCATCCCTGCCTCCCATACATTCAGGAAAAAAACATGCATTATTTTCTGGGAGGAAAAGAACAAGTAAACCCAGAAAAGGAAAGTGACAAAGATAACAGAGAAAAATCTTGACTCTTACTTGCTGGTATCCACTTCTGACACTTCTCACAGTAATAGGACATCTCCTCCATCCAGGATGCATCCCCCTCATCACTGTTCAAGGAGTCCCCACTCTGATCGTGGGATAAATCCACTGAAGCCTGATCCTCAGATTCAACAATCAGGAGAGTCTCCCCTTCCACCTCACCCTCCTCCAGCCCTTCTGAAGTTGATGTCCTTGTAGCTTCGTCATCGTGACGACTCATCAGCCCGCTCATGTGAACGTTATTATCCATCCCTTCTTGGCAAGTAGAGGAAGATTTTTTTTACATTACATGGGGCTCTCCCTCCCAGCATTTAAAACACTATCCATATAAGGTGAGCCAGCCAGGTGTGAAGCCTCCTACACAATATTTCTGCACACATGAAAATACAGAAGCTAGAGAAAAAACTTCATGTTTGCACTTCTTAATGTATATAATTTCCTGGACTTGATTAAAATGTATCTAAAAGAGATGGACTTTCAGAAACGACTTCTGTTTACTCAAACACCTGGGAATAGTCAAATACAAATCCTTGCTGTGTTCCTCAGTCCAAATTCTGATACTTCAGTTCTAGGTCTAGGATTGGTGGGACCCCTTTTCCATTAACATCTTGTCTCTTTCTGCTTCGAGTTGCTTGGTCAGAGTAATCTGTTCTTGTAAAAGACGAATGTTTTCCAGTTTACGGCTTTGTCTCTCAAGGTCTCGGATTACTCCTTCGTGCAGCCTCTGAAAATACAAGAGACATGGTTTGTTATAGTGTGTCCTGGGTTGCATAGGATGAATGCCTATTTGCATTCCAACCTCTGTCACAGCATTGCCAAGTGTATAACTGTTACAAACCTTTAATTCTCTGTTAGCGACCTGAGCTACTTTTGGAGTCTAAAATTACAAGAGCTGAGATCTGATGTGTGGATGTCGATAAACTACTGGTAGCATGCCAGGAATACTGTATTTGTTGGCTTAGCTGTATGATCTTAATATAATGATAAAGTGTTGGACAACTGTAAATATTGTATATTGATAAGCTCTACAATATTATAGAGAGACAGCAATCTCTCCTCAGAAGACTGACTTCTCCCCCATCCTTACCAGAATTCAACTAATCTGCCCCAAATTTCTCAATTTGTGTTCCTCTGCTTGAGAAGAATCTGAAGGTGACCTGAAAAGAATGTTAAGAAGAACTTTTCTGCTTCTTTATGATGTATAAAAGCTGGCCTGAAAAGGTTTCTTTCAGCTTGTTTTTTTTAAAACTTAAAAATATCTAGTATGTAAAGTCTTCCCTGGTTTTGCTGGAGATCCACTGGAGGTCCCACAGCACGTTTATTGTGGGCTCTTGAAAAAGTAATATGTGATTCTACAAATATGTTATTTCTTCAAAATGTTCATTAAAGTTAAATAGACATTGATATACACAACATGGAGGCTACATTTTTTTTAAAATGAAAATTTAATAGGATTACTATAACTGAAAGAGAAACAGTTTTTCCACTTTGTTTATTTTGTGCACTTGACAGCATTTTGGTCCTAATCCCATGGACAGACCTCTGCACCCATGCAGAGCCCCCAGACTTCGGTGGGGATTCCAATGCACACATAGGGATCCACCCACACAGAGCTCACAGTACTTTGTATACAGTCAATTTAACTGTTTTCCCTGTACAGTCAGTCAGACCTTGATCCTGAAACTGGATCCCTGCAAGCGGATTCAAGTGCTGAATCTGGGCCTTTGCCAGTTTCCTTTTTTGTTTATGTGGGTATTTTGCACAACAATAGGGGAAAGAAAGGCATATTGAAAACAAGAAAATACATCTGCAAAACCACAAAAATTGGCAAAGGAACTATGTGGCAGGAGTAGTACCTGAAACTGTTTACAACTCCTAGCAGATTTCAAGCTGATGGTGGCACATTTAACAAAAGATAATAAAATATATCATCTGATTAGGAAAACACATTCAATGGTTGCATGGAAGCCAATACTGGAACAAGCACAGGGTTCTGTCCACATGGATCCAACTTCAGGATCAGGGCCATATTTTGTTACTACCTATGGTCTTGATCCTTGAAAGGCTTATATGCCTGCCTAATTTACTAACTGATATATGTAAAGTTAAACTTGGGCATAAGTCTTTGCATCATGGATGAGGGTTTTTTTAAACAACTAACAAAATCATCCAAAGCACAGGACTTGGTAGTGATGGGGGACTTCAACTACCCAGACATCTGCTGGGAAAATAACACAGCAGGGCACAGATTATCCAACAAGTTCTTGGAATGTATTGGAGACAATTTTTTTTAATTTCAGAAGGTGGAGAAAGCTACTAGGGGAGAGGTGGTTCTAGATTTGATTTTGACAAATAGGGAAGAACTGGTTGAGAATTTGAAAGTGGAAGGCAACTTGGGTGAAAGTGATCATGAAATGGTAGAGTTCAGGATTTTAAGGAATGGTAGGAAGGAGAACAGCACAATAAAGACAATGGATTTCAAGAAGGCGACTTTAGCAAACTCAGGGAGTTGGTAGGTAAAATCCCCTGGGAAGCAAGTCTAAAGGGAAAAACAATTAAAGACAGTTGGCAGTTTTTCAAAGAGACATTATTAAGGGCACAAGAGCAAACTATCCCACTGTGTAGGAAAGATAGGAAGTATGGCAGGAGACCACCCTGGCTTAACCAGGAGATCTTCAATGATCTAAAAGTCAAAAAAGAGTCCTATAAAAAATGGAAACTTGGTCAAACCACAAAGGATGAATATAAACAAATAACACAAGTATATAGGGACAAAATTAGAAAAGCCAAGGCACAAAATGAGATCAAACTAGCTAGGGACATAAAAGGAAACAAGAAAACATTCTACAAATACGTTAGAAGCAAGAGGAAGACCAAGGACAGAGTAGGCCCGTTACTCAATGAAGGGGGAAAGACAATAACAGAAAATGTGGAAATGGCAGAGGTGCTTAATGACTTCTTTGTTTCGGTTTTCACCAAGAAGGTTGGTGGCGATGGGATGTCTAAAATAGTGAATGCCAGTGAAAATGAGATAGGATCAGAGATTAAAATAGGGAAAGAACAAGTCAAAAATTACTTAGACAAGTTAGATGTCTTCAGATCACCAGGGCCTGATGAAATGCATCCTAGAATACTCAAGGAGCTGACTGAGGAGATATCTGAGCCATTAGTGATTATCTTTGAGGAGTCATGGAAGACGGGAGAGATTCCAGAAGACTGAAAAAGGGCAAATATAGTGCTCATCTATAAAAAGGGAAATAAGGACAACCCGGGGAATTACAGACCAGTCAGCTTAACTTCTGTACCCAGAAAGATAATGGAGCAAATAATTAAGCAACCAATTTACAAACACCTAGAAGATAATAAGGTGATAAATAACAGTCAGCATGGATTTGTAAAGAACAAATCATGTCAAACCAACCTGATAGCTTTCTTTGACAGGGTAACAAGCCTTGTGGATAGGAGGGAAGTGGTAGATGTGGTATATCTTGACTTTAGTCACGCTTTTGATACTGTCTCGCATGACCTTCTCATAAACTAGGGAAATACAACCTAGATGGAGCTACTATAAGGTGGGTGAATAACTGGTTGGAAAATCGTTCCCAGAAAGTTATCAGTGGTTCAAAGTCATGCTGGGGTCCCGCAAGGATTGGTTCTGGGTCCAGTTCTGTTCAATATCTTCATCATTGATTTAGATAATGGCATAGAGAGTACACTTATAAAGTTCAGTGGCACCTTATAGACTAACAGATGTATTGGAGCATAAGCTTTCGTGGGTCTGACGAAGTGGGAGCATAAGAATGCGTCTGACGAAGTGGGTATTCACCCACGAAAGCTTATGCTCCAATACATCTGTTAGTCTCTAAGGTGCCACAGGACTCATTGTTGCTTTTTACAGATCCAGACTAACATGGCTATCCCTCTGACACTTATAAAGTTTGCGGACGATACCAACCTGGGAGGGGTTTCAAGTGCTTTGGAAGACAGGATTAGAATTAAAAATGATCTGGACCAACTGGAGAAATGGTCTGAAGTAAACAGGATGAAATTCAATAAGGACAAATGCAAAGTACTCCACTTAGGAAAGAACAATCAGTTGCACACATACAAAATGGGAAATGACTGCCTAGGAAGGAGTACCGTGGAAAGGGATCTGGGGGTCATAGCGGATCACAAGCTAAATATGAGTCAACAGTGTAATGCTGTTGCAAAAAAAAAAAACATCATTCTGGGATGTATTAGCAGGAGTATTGTAAGCAAGACACGAGAAGTAATTCTTCTGCTGTACTCTGCGCTGATTAGGCCTCAACTGGAGTATTCTGTCCAGTTCTGGGCGCCACATTTCAGGAAAGATGTGGACAAATTGGAGAAAGTCCAGAGAAGAGCAACACAAATGAGTAAAGGTCTAGAAAACATGACCTATGAGGGAAGATTGAAAAAACTGGGTTTGTTTAGTCTGGAGAAGAGAAGACTGAGAGGGGACATGATAACAGTTTTCAAGTACATAAAAGGTTGTTACAAGGAGGAGATAGAAAAATTGTTTTTCTTAACCTCTGAGGATAGGACAATAAGCAATGGGCTTAAATTGGAGCAAGGGCGGTTGGACATTAGGAAAAACTTCCTAACTGTCAGAGTGGTTAGTCACTGGAATAAATTGCCTAGGGAGGTGGTGGAATCTCCATCATTGGGGATTTTTAAGAGCAGGTTGGACAAACACCTGTCAGGGATGGTCTAGATAATACTTAGTCCTGCCTTGAGTGGAGGGGACTGGACTAGATGACCTCTCGAGGTCCCTTCCAGTTCTATGATTCTATGATCATCAGGACACAAATATATTCACAGGCACTACAGCTGACTGGCTGAATGCTGGGGGAAAAAATTGCCCCCAAAATTATCAAATAAACTATCTGTGAATATTGTGACCAGTTCTAACAGAAAGAGGCTTTATTTCTCACCCAGAATCCAAGTACACATTTCAAGGGAAATAATTTGTTCCATCAAAATTATCAAGAAAAAATGTTTTGTGCAAGAAATATTTTAATCTCATTTTCAAAAAATATGGAGTCAAAGACAAAACGTATTTCACCCAAAATATCAATCTCTCTGGAAATGAATTTGATAGGAGAGGTTCTTTCCCATCAGTTTCAGTCAATTTAATTCAGGTTGTAAAATTACTACTATCCTGTCAGACTAGTAGGTAGTACTGTATTAGTTAATGAAAATACAGAAAAGAGGAAGAGATTTTGATCAATGCAGGCATCAAGCATGTCTCTTTATCCAATAAAATACAGCAGTCCTGTAACCTACCAGGCTGTGTTTTCATTCACTTTAGTGCTACACAGCTATATATGGGTTTTGCAAAAAACCTTTATATTTTGTCCCAAATGACAGAGAGCTATCATCCATCATTAGCACAATCAGAATACATACAAACCGACCTGGGTCTGGTCGATACGCAGAAGTTGCACCTGTTTATTTTTTACATCAATTTAGCTAACCCTGTGCAAGTTTAAATTCACTTGGCTTATCTCAAATTAGTTCATTAAGGCCAAAAATTTCTTAAATTAAATCAACATAAACCAGACATGAACTGATTTAAGAGTGTCCACATTCGGGGTCTGCCTTGGTTTAACTAAATTAATTTGAAAAACAATTTAGATAAACTGGTGCACTTTTGAGCATAGACAAAGCATTAGTACTTGCTGATTATCAGGCCCTGGATTA